ACCAAAGATCAAGCCAATATTTTGCCAGATTTTGTTGTGCTTCAGAATAACACAAAAAATCAGCGCTCATTAGAAAAGTAAAAACGTCCAGAATCCAGAGTTACAAAACAAAAGTCAAGAAACATATGGTCAGCTTTTGTTTTCTGATCAAAGACAATAATCCTTCTAGTCACTATTCATAAGGCCATTTAATAAAAGAGCAGACCGAGACAAGGGCCCTCACTTCAAGGTATCAGCATTGTGCAGCAGAATGGCTTACATCTGTGAGTAAGTATTTTTCACTAGATAAGATAAGATAAGATATAACTTTATTAATCCCCCGTGGGGAAAATTTTGGTCAACACAGCAGCACAAAGGGATATAAAAGAACAGATGCAGTTTTTTAGAACTATCAACACTCTATTTACACTGTACAATCAATAATAATTATTTACAAACATTTACAACCAGATAAATGTCTCAGATATAATCAGGCACAAATCTGTCAGTTTGGTGCTGTGAAGCCTGATGGCTGATGGCACAAATGAGCCTCCAAAGCGCTTTGAGGCTCGGGGCTGACTATGATTATGCATCAATACATAAGGTAGCCATGTGCACCTTCCCAATTGATTCCCTATCAATCGAAAACACATACAACAGTATGTACATATGTATGTAACAGGACAACATAGAATGTAAAGTCTATCAAAACAATGATAGCCTACCTGCAGGTTGTCAATGCAAGTCCCATGCAGCAGCAGTTATCATTTGCAAGACTAACTCCAAGCATTTTTCCTTGTCAAAAGAGCTGCCTGCTCCCTGAGGTTTTACAGTACCAAATGAAAGATCTGCCGCATGTCTTGATTCAGCCAAAGTTAGGCAATCTGTCATACACATTCCCCTGAGCCCTGAGCACACACACACACACACACACACACACACACAACCACAGGCACAAATTGCATATGTCCATGTTCAGATTATCTATCTGATCTCTGATCCCCATAATCCTGCAACATCAAAAATAAATCAAACATCACAAAAAAAATTCTAACAGACAAGCATGGCAAAAAAAATGCAGAGAATTGTTGAGATGGCTACTCTGAATGCTTGAACAAGAAACCATACAACTAGCTAGTCACTAACTAAGTAAGTGACTAGTGTGTGTAGGTAGCTAGGTAGATAGCTTTGATGACATTTGTGAGTAGAATGGCACAGGAAGGTGTGAGTTGCAAAGTTGCAAGTAAATTGTCTAATGGGAGCCGGCCCACAGATCTCTTGGGAAAACACCTCTGTAAGAGCTGGATGTCGGGGTAACTATACTTAATAAGATCAAATACAACTGTTGTCATCTACCTCTTCTTTAAATATAATGAAATTATATCATTATATAATACATTTATATAATAACAAATAGGAAACGTCCATCCCAAGTCCTGAAAGTATGTTAAGATACCATGTTTTCATGCTGTCATCTCTTTTACCATATTCTTCTTGTAATGTAGAAAAACAGGCATATTTGAATTTTATTATATCCTTAAGGATTACATTATCTGAATCAGGGTAATCCCTGTTTTCCAATACAATTGCATGAAAGCCATGTCACGTGACAGTGCTTTTGTCCAAAAGCACAGGGGCAGAGGAAGTGCCACTGGATCCTCCAACAATCGGATTCAGCTATCCCTCATGCTGTGAAACATGTCTAAATCCTTTACACAATCATGTCAGAGGCATTATTATGGCATCCCACCACTAAATACCATCCTCCTACCCCCAACCCTCATCCGCCACACACATATAAAGGGCACACGCACAAAAAAATCAAAGATTTGTTTTAACATTGGGGAGCTTTTGTTAGCAAGATGACAGTTGAGGAATGTATCAAATTATCCAACTGCTGTAAAATGAGCTGTAAAGCGTACTAAGAGACAAATCTATTGTTCAGACCCTTGATTACATTACATTATTCTTTAGGATTTGCTACAGTGGTAAACGATAAAGTCATCACATTTAAGCAAAATACAACAGCTACAGGATGAGAGAAATTTGATTAGTCTGGTAAATTTTGCTGCAGAGAATGTTGGCCCTGAGGGTGTGAAAGCTTAACGCAGCACATTTTACTGCATCAGGCCTGTCTTTGCAACAGTGTTTGCTTCAGTGTGTACAGTGTCTATCACATCTTTAATATGTTATCAGCTGAGGAAAACAAAGATGTTTTTGACTTCTCATCAAGATTGGCAACTACCTTCTCTTCCACTCATAATCCCTTCTTTGCAGGACAAACAGCCTGAATCAGCTCTTTTTGTGTGTGTGTGTGTGTGTGTGATGTCTGTTCTCTGCTTGGAGCTAACTGTGTCCGGTCTGGCTCCAAGCTTGGACCTCTCTCCTGCAGTTCTCATTACAGAATCTGAGCAGACACACACCACAGTGCAAAGGCAGCCACTGAACACACTCCCACTGGGGAGCTTTGTTACAGTGATACACAGGGTTAAGGCAACACAGCTACTCCATGACTGCAATGCTCAGTGGCAATGAATAATACGCAGGCACCACATGTGGCGGCCCCAGTGGCCCAAAAAACACAAATGCTTATCTATAGTAGGATGCAAACTGATTTGTTTAATGTCATTGTCTTGTTATATTATGACGTATAGTAGCAGTATAGAGGGCTCCACGTTTTTTTTGTACAGAAAGTTATCAAAGCACCGCAGGTTTCTCTCACAGTCTGTTTCCTCTAAATTGTCTATTTAATCACTGGTATTCCCCTACTCAGGCAGAACACATGAATACCATTTTTTCCAATACAGAAGTGATATAAAATACCTGATCACCTTATTTTAACACAATACACATTGTTAGAATATAAAATATATGATAAAAACAGCTCTAATAATTTAAAGCGCACTCCCATCTGTCCCTCATGGTTGCTAAAGCAAGCAGGCTATCGCATTATCATTTTATCACGCAAATTAAACAGATGGATTAAATTAATTAGATGAGGTTCCACATGACTGGCAGAGGGTAACTGAATTTAGGGGCTATTTTTAGATCTCTGTATCCTGAGAGTGTGGGGGGAGCTTGTAGAGACTTGGGAGGCTTATTAAGTCAGGCATCAGTGGAGGAAGGTAGGCCACATCTGGTGCACAGCTCTAAAACTCTTAACTGGCCAGCATAATTTTACCAGAACAGTCCCTTACCTAGAATTTCTATCCCAGTCACAGAAGCTGATCTAAATCACAGTCTGGGGAATTTAAAAGGTCACAGTCTTAATTTACAGAGAATGTACTACCTTTTCAAATACCTCAACCTTCTGTTAGGTATCATCACTATGTCTATTCTTAGAAGTATTATGTCTCCCTGGAAATGTGCACAATGTTTGTGGTTAAGGAGAGATCTCCTTCCTCTGATACTGTCTCCCCTCCATGGGTATTCCATCCCCTGCACTAATTTTAGGTGTGTAATTTTTCAGACTGAAGTGGCCCTGCCATTTAAAGCGGCACAAAGATATGACCTTGATATCAGCTAAACATTTAAGTGAAGCACTGTGTCTTTCGGCTACTTTTCACCCTGCGGTCGAGAGATGAAATGGAAAGGATGAGCTGGGCTGGGTGTGAGCGGGCTGTACTCAAAATGACTGGAAACACCAAATCAGTTGTTGGCCAGCACCCTGAGTAGAACCACACCAAGCTAAACTCAACCATTAGATAATCTATTTACAGACCACCACGCAAGACTGGACAAACCCAGTCTTTAAAGTTAGTTGAAAATGAGCTAGGTTATATATGTAGCTACTGTATATATCCTGACATGAAAATAATATCGATTCAAAGCTGACCCAAACAGTCAACCAGCTTCTATGCTGCTTGTATTAAAATTTTGCAGCCTTACTGCCTGTGGCTGAGAGCACAGCAGGAGGGCTGACCGATGAGGGAGCACATGCAGGAATGATAAATAGGCTAAGTAACCTTATTGCTGCGGCTGACATCGAGACCCTGACAGAATGATAATAAGCTTGAAATTTTTTGCATGGGTCTATGAATGGTTTCCATGTCACATCCTAATTAAGAATGACAGAATGAACCAAAGAATTGCTTAGCTGTTAAACTGTAGGTTTATATACCTGTAAATATGACCATAGGTGTATTGGTGAATCCCTGGATTTAATTCCATGATAATGTATAGGAGACCAGCAAGCATACATGTTCAGTTCACTCTGATGCTGATGGGTGAAATGTCTATGCTAACATAACACTGCTAGAGAGCTCATGGTGGTGTTACTTGAGTGCAAACAACATACAACTTCAGCAAAAAGAAAACTAAATAGTCCACAAGTGCATGGTAAAGTGTAATATATGCAGTGGATGTGACACTGTATGTGTGAGTCTATATACACAATATCTCTGTGTGTCTGCCTGTGTGTGTCTGGGCACTAACAGCAGCTGTGCCAATCATTGAAAAGAAAACTCATGTAAACAAGTGCATTCCTTTGAGGAGTGTATCTCTGGCATACGGAAAGGTGGGGAGGACTGCATCAAACCTCCACTACAGTCTAACATATGGAAGCATCCCACATTAACCATGTACATAGAACAGTATCATAATCAGCCTGAGTTATCACAGTTCTGCTGACATCAACACAGCAGTCAGTGACCTGTGATCATGAGGCATTGCAGTGAGCATCTCTCTCTCTTTCTTCCTCTCTGTGTCCTTATTCCTGTATAGGCTGCTCCATTAGACATTACATATATCATTACACATGATATATTTGCACTCCCCAAAGGCAATTCAAAGGTTTGTAAAAGCAAAAAAGCCAGCTGCCTTCTATGCCAACACAACGGACGATAGACACTTCTCAGCATACATGTAAATTCTCCTGCCTGCACATACAAACACTTAACAACATGATATCTGAAGCACTTTATCTCCTGCAGCTGCTGAAAAGCCTTAGCAGACAAACTCCTGAGTAGCTACGTAGCAACACAATCCCACATATGCGTTGGGAGAGGGGCTGGGATACACACCTGTGAGTCGCATGATTCCCTGGCTGCCTCTTGTAAGGGACGTGTAAGGTTGACTGTCCTGGTTGGCCCAACATGTTAGCTGCAGATCTGTGATTCGCTGTGCTGTGCGCTGCTCTTCTCAGTGGTGCCTGTGTGTGTGTGTACTCCTCTCAGCTGGTAGTGCTGCTACTGCTGACGTCCTCTGCTGTGCACCGAGGCGTCGATTCATTCATTCAAAACATCGTCTTTCCCGCTACGGCTGTGTTGGGCTGCTGAGGTGGAGCTAAAAATACATGCAATCACTGAACTGTCCCCTGTCTCCGAGAGCATTAGGCTTGTGATGGGTATTATTAAAACCAGCCAACCTCACGGGTACATCATGTAAGAGGCCCCAGAGCACCTAGAAAAACTACAGGTACCATGCATTAGCCATAACCCATATATATATCAAATTCTCTTCTCTCACATTCCCTCCCTGTGGTGGTACTGTTTTTCACCTCACCTCTCCCCTGCCCTCTTCTAATGTATGCGGTCCTCAGCAGAGCTTTGCCGTCAGAGCACTTGCCTAAACTGGACGCCCTCTCTGCTCCATTCCCTCTGCAGTAATGCAGGCAATATACAGCATGCAGAGTGAGCAAGAGGCTAGGTGGGAATGAGGAGCGCAAAGGCGGAATTATGGTAGTGAGTAAGGAAAAAAAGAGAAAGGGATGAGGAAGTGATTTGCAACAACAAATTTTATGTTTCCACTACACACTGCTTTCTGGGACAACAGCGTCCAAAGACAACAAAATTGCACCAAAAAATTGCTTACTTTTATATCATTTTACTATGCAGGATGACTGTAAGCAAGTTAAACAGGAAATGCTGATCAGATGATGAGTGGAAAGTGTGAGACACTGGGCTCTGACCTAACAGCTGACTGATGACTATGCTAGGATCATGGGGGGGTGAAAAATGATTTCTGCACCAGCTGAGTCAAGTCTCACATTAACCCACCCTCTTCCCACACACACTCACACACACACACAAAGGAAAGCAGGTAATGCATCCAGCTGATGTTGCCCTTATCCCCTGAGTTTCATCCTCTGCTGCTCTTTCTCATCCATCTATCCCCCTTCACATCTCATTAGCATACCCCAGGAGTCGAAGGCACTCGCACTGCAAGTAAATACCTCTTCAACCCTGTGGATATGATACCACCCTAGTAGACCTCCGGGTCTAACCACCACCAATGATTATTTGAATTGTGCATATCTCTCTACAGTAGGGTATCAAGAACTGGTTGGAACTGTTACCAATTTCCAAGAATCGTTGTTTTGTTAAGACACATGCATTTCGATCCTGCTTATCGGTTCCTAACTTTTTGCATATTATAGTGAGCATTTTACAGTTCATAAAAGTTGACCTTATCTGCAAAGACCTGCTACGCGGACCTAACGTCACGTCATCTGTTACGCAGTATGTCAAAAAAGCGAGCGAGATGAGAGTACTTCTGTTCTGAGACGATCACTCTGCAGCACAACGAGTACTTTGACTTTTGATATGTTTTTTATTTATTTTCATTTAATTTCAAATACATGTTTCTGTTAACACTTGCCTAATTTTACTTACATAAGACATTGAATGCAGGACTTTTACTTGCAACAGAGTAGTTTAATAATGTGATACCGCTACCACTGCCCACAGCCAATACAATGACCCTCAATAAACTGTATGGCTACTACTGACATGGACAAGTAATCTCAATGGATAGTGACTTAAATATAGAAATGTGCTTTATATTTTAGGATCACAAAGCAATGAAACGTTTTAATACTAATAATAAAAGTGCGAACACACATAATGAACAGTATTTAAAAAAGAGAGGGGCGCCCAGTAGCTCACCTGGTAGAGTGTGTTCCACAAATCAAGGCTGAGGCCTTACTGCAGCAGTCTAGGTTTGAATCCGGCCGGGGCCTTTGCTGCATGTCATCCCCTCTCTCTTCCCTGTCTTTACTGTCTCTCTCTACTATCACAATCAAATAAAGCAGAAATGCCAAAAAAAATATGTTTACAAAGAACAAAGTGATGTAAGAAAAAAAATAGAACAGATTTTTTAATAGTTTTTAAGAGATGAAACTGAACTGGATAGCCTTCAGCTTTAGCTTCATCATAATCCCAGTGTGTCTCTGATAGCTACAGAGTCCTCTCAATAATATATGTTGCTACATACATACTCACCAGTTGGTGATTAGAGGTGCAAAGTAGTCCAGTTTTAAAGTCTCATATGTCCAAATCTGTCCTGATCCTGAAGACAACTAATAAGGAGTCCCTTTTTGTTCTTGTAACGTGTGGTAACTGAGCCTGTTTTAATGTGTGCACTGTGCTAGGTGGGTGTGCTAGACAGGGCACAAAGAGCGGTGTCAGAGTATAACTGCTGTTTCAGCCCTCTCTCTTTACTCTCGATCACTCAGTAACACTGCCAGCACTTACAGTATGTAGCTCTACTTAGCCTCTCCAGGGAGGAATAAAATGATAACATTCAATTGTTCAGTCACTATACAGAAGATGAAGAAGGAGGAAAGGGGAAGGGCCCGACCTGCTAAGAAACTCCAAAGCCACCACTCTTCCTGGTGACCACAGATGAGCAGTATTCACCTCACTGTGTTGTCCAGTCAATGTAACGTGCTGACCTTGGTCTCTGACTGCAACCAGAGCCTTCCTTTTCACCCCGAGTCCCCTAGATCAGATCCCAGTCAGCCAGAGGGAGAGGGATAGAGTATGGTAGGGCAGACTAATAGCTGAGTGGCTGGCTCAGGCTGCTGCAGTGCTGGTTCAATAATCCACAGACAGACACACAGATAAGAGCAGAGGGCTGGATGAGGGTGGTTTAGGTCAATACAGACAGAAAAAAAAAAAACATTGGCCAGGGTCAACATTCATACCTCACTCTATCACTTACTTCCACTGTTGTCCTCCTGTCTGTTGTATAGCAAAATTATGCTATAACAGCACTGTATCAATCCCAGCCTGTTGTGTTAGCAAATCAGAAACCCACAAACCCAGAAAAAAAGGCTTTTTAAATATACCAGAGGTGTTAAGTTGATTAAGGCTAAAATTACACAGTGGGACAGGAAATATCGTTGAGGATTTAATATAGAACTGATACAACATTTTAGTCAAATACAGGAAAAGGGCAATATGACTGAGAAATGATTAATTAATCATTGTATGATTGGAAGGTAAGACATCTTTAACTCAAGCCTGAGTTAAACTCAGTTAAGTTAAAATCCTGCATAATAAGAAAGTCTTATTTCATGCATTACATGTCTTGATAACGACAATAAGACTGAAACAAATGTAATATTGCATCAAACTTTCAAAGAGACAAAGACTCAACATCAGTATCTAGTGGCTACCCACAGAACAGCACTTCAACATACAGTCCCCTCCAAAAGTATTGGATCGGTAAGGCAAATTCCTTTGTTTTTGTTGTTCACTGAAGACTTTTGGGTTGAAGATCAAAAGATGAGTAGGAGACGAGAGTTCAGAATTTCAGTTTTTATTTCCTGGTATTCACATCTAGATGTGTTAAAACAACTTAGGACACATCACCGTTTGTGTTTGACCACAGCATTCTTAGGTGAGCAAAAGTAATGGAAAAAAGTAATAACATTTAATATTTGGTGGCATAACCCTTGCTTGCAATAACTGCCTCAAGCCTGCGACCCAGCAGACTATTCCAGGCTTTTACCGCAGCTTCTTTCAGTTCTTGTTTATTTTGGGGCATTTCACCCTTCAGTCTCCTCTTGAGGTGAAAAGCATGCTCTATTGGGTTAAGGTCAGGTGATTGACTTGGCCAGTCTAAAACCTTCTTTTTTCCCCTGATGAAGTCCTTTGTTTTGGTGGCAGTGTGCTTTGGGTCATTGTCCTGCTGCATGATAAACTTCCTCCCGATTAGTTTCAATGCATTTCTCCGTAAATTGGCAGACAAAAATGGTTCTGATCATTTCTGAATTCATTCTGCTGCTACCATCATCAGTTACATCATCAATAAATATTAATGAGCCTGTTCCAGAAGCAGCCATGCACGCCCAAGCCATGACATTACCTCCACCATGCTTCACAGATGAGCTTGTATGCTTCGGATCATAAGCAGTTCCTTTCTTTCTTCACACTTTGGCCTTTCCATCACTTTGGTAGAGATTAATCTTGGTCTCATCAGTCCATTGTGTTCAAGAACTTTTGCGGCTCATCTCTGTACTTCTTTGCAAATGAGTCTTCTTCTGGATTGTGATACCTTCACCCCTGCAATGTGGAGGTCGTTGGTGATGTCACTTACTGATGTTTTGGGGGTTTTCTTCACAGCTCTCACGATATTTCCATCATAAACTACTGTTGTTTCCCTTGGCCGACCTGTTCGACGTCTGTTGCTCAGTACACCAGTAGTGTCTTTCTTTTTTTGGACATTCCAAATTGTTGTGCTTGCTATGTCCAATGTTTGTCCAATGGCTCTGGTTGATTTTCCTTCTTTTCTCAGCTTGACAATGGCTTGCTTTTCTCCCATAGACAGTTCTCTGGTATTCATGTTGGTTTATCCTCTTTAACAGGAAATTCAGTCTTTATAGCTTTGAACCAAGGATGAAAACTTAGACTAGTCTAGCTATTTAATGTTTGAACAATCAACCTAAAAGGCAACACCTGGGCAACAACAAACATCTGTCAGCCACATGTTCCAATAGTTTTGCTCACTTGAAAAATGGGTGGGTTCAAACAAAGGGTGGTATGTCCTGAGTTGTTTAACACATCTACAGGGGTTGGACAATGAAACTGAGATGCCTCTCATTTTAGTGTGGGAGGTTTCATGGCTAAATTGGACCAGCCTGGTGGCCAATCTCCATTAATTGCACATTGAACCAATAAGAGCAGACTGTGAAGGTCCAATTAGCAGGGTAAGAGCACAGTTTTGCTCAAAATATTGCAATGCACACAACATTATGGGTGACATACCAGAGTTCAAAAGAGGACAAATTGTTGGTGCACGTCTTGCTGGCGCATCTGTGACCAAGACAGCAAGTCTTTGTGATGTATCAAGAGCCACGGTATCCAGGGTAATGTCAGCATACCACCAAGAAGGACGAACCACATCCAACAGGATTAACTGTGGACGCAAGAGGAAGCTGTCTGAAAGGGATGTTCGGGTGCTAACCCGGATTGTATCCAAAAAACATAAAACCACGGCTGCCCAAATCACGGCAGAATTAAATGTGCACCTCAACTCTCCACCAAAACTGTCCATCGGGAGCTCCACAGGGTCAATATACACGGCCGGGCTGCTATAGCCAAACCTTTGGTCACTCGTGCCAATGCCAAACGTCGGTTTCAATGGTGCAAGGAGCGCAAATCTTGGGATGTGGACAATGTGAAACATGTATTGTTCTCTGAAGAGTCCGCCTTCACTGTTTTCCCCACATCCGGGAGAGTTACGGTGTGGAGAAGCCCCAAAGAAGCGTACCACCCAGACTGTTGCATGCCCAGAGTGAAGCATGGGGGTGGATCAGTGATGGTTTGGGCTGCCATATCATGGCATTCCCTTGGCCCCATACTTGTGCTAGATGGGCGCGTCACTGCCAAGGACTACCGAACCATTCTGGAGGACCATGTGCATCCAATGGTTCAAACATTGTATCCTGAAGGAGGTGCCGTGTATCAGGATGACAATGCACCAATACACACAGCAAGACTGGTGAAAGATTGGTTTGATGAACATGAAAGTGAAGTTGAACATCTCCCATGGCCTGCACAGTCACCAGATCTAAATATTATTGAGCCACTTTGGGGTGTTTTGGAGGAGCGAGTCAGGAAACATTTTCCTCCACCAGCATCACGTCGTGACCTGGCCACTATCCTGCAAGAAGAATGGCTTAAAATCCCTCTGACCACTGTGCAGGACTTGTATATGTCATTCCCAAGACGAATTGACGCTGTATTGGCCGCAAAAGGAGGCCCTACACCATACTAATAAATTATGTGGTCTAAAACCAGGTGTTTCAGTTTCATTGTCCAACCCCTGTAGATGTGAATACCAGGAAATGAAAGCTGAAATTCTGAACTCTTGTCTCATGCTCATCTTTTGATCCTAAACCCAAATGTCTTCAGTGAACAAAAAGAACAAAGGAATTTGCCTTACCGTTCCAATACTTTTGGGAGGGACTGTTCATGCACATGCTCCATCTGGTCTCAAGGATGCACTGACAGAGAAGGGCAGTTGTTACAGTGATTTGAAAACTTCCAAACATAACTAACACTACATCTTTGCTGCACAGATTAGAGACAACGGATGGTTGGAGGTGAAGACTGATCTCATAGTAAATGAAAGAATAGTAAAAGGGAGAATCAATCAGCAAATGAATAACGTATTAGCCTTGCATCTCTGCACCAAAAGCAAAATAAATTGGATTGGTTTGTGAGAACTTGCACAGATGTGTGGTCAATGTGTTCAATAAATGCTGCAGTGAATGAAATTGCCCTAACCGCCAGATCTGCTCTCTGCATTGGCCAGATGGGCCTTTTCATTTATCTTTTCAGGCTCAATATTTCAGTAATGAGAACAGCAATATTTAGTCAAGTAATCCACAATGAGAAACATAAGCTTATTGAAGGGTTAGGTTATTCAGATATAGGTTATTCAATATACTGTACCTTTAGGAATATAGAATAAGACACTACAAAGAACCTTCATTGCTACAAATCCTATGATCAGTCAATAAATGTCAGATTAAGTAGATCTGTACAGATCTTCAAGGTGCTACTTAGAAAAAAAGTTGTGACTACAGAGAAGAAGTTGTTGGCCACCTTGGAGTCGTGCTTCTGGCCACCAAGTCCAATATTCACTCTCTGTAGCTATTTTGGTCCTTACAAACTCCTGAGGAAAATACTCTTCTCTTTAGCTGCTTAATGCGCCACTATGTTTACCAGTTAGTCGCTAACTTTCTCTGTCTGCCTTTTGGTGCTGGGCAGGTGGTGTACAGTGGGTTTATCAGAGCTTGTTTGCTGAAAACAGCTGCCTATTAAAGGTGGAATCAACACTGAAGAAAGTGGTGAAATTAAATCAAAACATACTACCAATATAATGACCTGAAAAATAAAGCAGAGAAGATTGCAGCATTGAGTTATATTAATAAACCTATAGACAATATCTCTAGTGAAAGCAGAATTTTAACTTTTACCAGATTCACTGAACCAAACTGTTTTTTTTATCTAAATGCAAATGTACTATGCTTGCAGAAAATCAATGCCGTTACACTACCGTGTACTTGATTTTCTATTGGTGATGTGAGTTTCTCACGTTTAAATTACCTATTTTATTGTTCAGCAATTTTTAACCAAACACTGGAATCACATGGAAAAAATAAAAATGGAAACTTCAACAAAAAAGCTAAGTCTCAGATACGCTCTCTAGAAAGACTTTTTTTATACAACATCCATCTCCCACCTTTGTGGCTGCTAAGTAATCACCTCTCTTCTCACCCGTGTGGTGAGATGAGAACAGTGTGGGACCTGCTTCCCTCTGCAGTGGCTCCCGTCACACTCAGCCTCTGACAGAATGCGGCAGAAAGAATTGTCATCTGAATTTAATCAGAGGGAGGGTATACAAACTCTTTCTTTCCTCCAGACCGGCAGGTGAAATTACTCAGGTGCAGACTAGAGCTTCCCTCTTTAACAACATGAAAAGAATGATAGATGACAAAGAGAAACGTTTTATATGTATATAATTTGATTTTTGTCAGCTGTTTATTGCATGCCAGTTCCATTTACTTTGCCTGTACATTACCATAGCATGTTACAGATATCCAGATCGTAGTATGTATAAAAACAGGTATTTCTTTTACACAAAGCTGAAGACAAAATTTCACAGTGATTACAGCATTAAACCAGTGTTACCTTGTCTCAATCTGCTTCTCTTCCTTCTCCAAACTGGAGGGTTCCAGCCCAGCAACCACCTCTGTTTCATGATCAGCCAAGTCAGTCCCCTGGCCAAGGGGCAAGCAACTGCAACAGCAGGTCCCCATCCCGGCTCGGGCATCTCCCCAGCCCTGTTTCTGCTCTGACTCCTGCTCCAGCTCTGACTGGTAAACTTGCTCAAGCTGTCTGGACAGTGAATGACTCATTCTAGATAATGTATATCATCACACAGAGCACACCTCAGCTCTTAATGTATTCATTCATTGCAGGCTCCCGGTTAAATATTGCAAGTCCAAACAAGGCCTGATGGAAAGCTTCT